CTGAGACATTTTAAACTAAGCAAAGGAAGTACTAGAATAAATCAGATGAAACTTTTGGAGAAAGTGAAACCGATATTTTATTCTTGTAAATAACTTTAATCAAATTGTTTCATTTCCTGTGATCAAGATTTCAAAGACAAAATGGATCAGTAGGACACGTATGTGACAGTGTTTGCATTATTTACAATCAACTGCACATCCCAACTTTGGTTAACACACAAAAATCAATCTACACCTATCCATGTAGAGCTATTCTAACATTTATATTTGTAAAGAAAAAAAAATGTATGGATTAAAATTACTGATCAGTTATCTTTTAATTGGGAGTTTTTATTATTTAAAAAAAAACACACAATTAAATATCAAATAAGATTATCTGAAAATATGCCACTTACTGCTAACTGACTAAATAAAACGAAATTTTCTAAATCAGAGCTCTATTAGATTATGCAGGTATACACATTAAACAGTTAGTTGTGAGTTCTCATCATATGCATTTGATACCAATTAATTTTCACCCACTACACCAGCCTGGACCCGTTCATTGTTAAAGAACATCGGGTTATCAAAGGTAGTTAAGTTTTGAGAGATGGACTGGCAGATACCAGACTTTTTCAACAGGAAGATGATGATGACTATCCCTATGGCAGTGACAGTAATGCCCAGCATAACCTCCAAAACCATGTGGCCATTGGCTTTAGGATCCTCTATAGAAGAACTTGCTGTATAGATTGAGCACATAGATTAGTCCAACTAAATTATAAATGTAAGACAAATATAAAAAAAAAACACAACTTACCAATTGTTGTTGGTGCTTGTAATACTAAAAAGAAGATTTAAAAAAAGATAAAAATTTCTGTGTCACTGCAGGAACTGGTACTGTAATGCTAAATCAATTGAAACTAGTGCTGTCAGCGTTAATCTTGTTAAAATGTTGTTAACGCCATAACTGCATTAACGCGGCAAATCTCCGTTAGTGAGTTAACGCGGATTGCCCCGTGTGAGGGCTGCAAGGTGTCAACGCGTCAGCGCGGTTAGGTTGTTAACGCATTAGCGCCATGCAGCTCCTCCCACATGGCGATCCGCGTTAACTTGCTAACAGAGAACCGCCGCGTTAATGCGGTTATGGTGTTAACGTCATTTTAATGAGATTAACGCTGACAGCACTAATTGAAACATGTTGTTAAGTGTATGTATTGCACATTTGTGCTATTACATTTCTGGACTTACCTTTAGGTGCTTTACAAATAAATCCCTTGCTATTATACGCATTGCCTGTTGTCCAACTCCCATCTAGAGATGCAATTGCTCCATAGATTCCAATACCGCCAGGCTCATTTGGACCCCAGTTAACGAAGTCAATGGCTGTTTTATCCAACCATTTCCACAAGCCTAGAAACAAACAGAATTTCTCTTTTGCTCTACTTCAGTTGCAAGAAAACTAGTACTTTATTTTTACTCTTGCAATAGGAAATATGTATAAAGGGGAATAACTTGAAAAGTTACATTAATTAGCCACTTCAGAGCAGTAGAAGTGACTGAAAACACAACACTAGCACCTTAATGCGCCACTACCAAATATTCATAGTTGTGTTTGGCAGTTTGCTTTTTTCCCTTCCTTCTTAATGGTCAACAGGTGAGGAGTCATCAGGTAGCCAAAAGAAGTGTGGACGTCTAGAAGTCTGAAGTAATCACTGAGTTTGTCTCAATTGTTTGTTTCATGTCTTTCTAAATGCAACATGAAACATTAATCTTTTGGGGAAATTTGATCTCTGGGGATCTGTCTAAAGGCTGGTCTACCTTGTAAGTAACAAGTCACTGCAGAGAGTCCAGGAAAATCACTTTCTCAATCACAGCAACCTGTCACTTATCACATTTTATATTAAAACACTAAGATTGTGTTAATTGACACTCAGCTTGAATCTTCAGCATGGGATCGAATCAGAATCAGAGAGACTTTATTTATTGCCAAGGGGCAATTAAGATACAACAGAGCAGCGTGACACTGAAGATAAGGACAGGGCATAAACAGCCAATAAGAATGAGATAATAAATACACTAGCACCAGACAGACTAACCAGCTATTTTATGTCACGGTTACAATTATAATTTTCCGTTTATGTGTTCTGTTTTTATTTATCTTCAAGTATACATTAACATTTTTCCATGAAAGAGTGGAAAAAAATGACTGTACCTTTGTGAGTCTGATACATGCCAATCCAGAAAAAAGTTTGGCTGTCTTTAAATACTAGCACGTTGTTAAAAATGAATCTTTGCTCAGCAGGATTTTCAATGCTGGTTAGAGTTCCACCTTGACCAACAAAAGATAAACAAACTGTTAAATCCAAACACAGCTGATGGACTGGGAATTTGCATTATACCATTCCCATATCCTTACCATATCTTATACATAGTGCAGATGCATCTCCCCAGTCAAAACTTCCTTTGACAAAGAGGTAACAATAACCCTTGAAGGGTATCCAGGTATAACCAGTTCTTGATGCTGGGTCTTCAGGGCAATTTCCTGGAAAACTGGCTGATTCTGTTGACTCTGTTGGTGGCACATCTGTGAATTCAAAAGTAACCAGATATATAGTTTAAATCCA